AAATGTGGGATCGGTCGCAGGCAGAGCACAAGGGAAACGGTTTGGCACACGTGCCAGGTGGGGATGTAGGATGTGGGGGGCATCCCTTGGGGGAAAAGTCAGATTTGCTGGGCTCGGTCCCCCGACTGCAGCCCACTCTGCAGCATCCAGGTTCTTTGCAGCATCCAAGAACCGGGCCGAGTTCGTGGTGAGGGCTGGCAGGGCGTTCAGTGTGTTGCACAAGCAGTGCCAAACTTCCGTGCCCATCACAGCCTCCACCAACACCAGTGTGCAGGAAAGCAGTTGGCACTGGGAATGGTGCCCACTTGGAACGCCCTTTTCCACGCCTGCCAGAAGGTGGGAAACCGCTCCACGCATGAGGCATTATCCCGCCACAGTCACGGGCTTCCCATACTCTGCGGGAGGCTCCTCAGGAATGGAATAATCTGGACGCGCTTTTCTCTCGAGCAGGTTCTGCCAGGACCCCTCGCTCCGATCTGGAATGTCAGGTGCACAAAGGAATGTGCTTCCCGCACGGCTGTCCTGCTCAGTGGTCGCGCATCGGAAGCTGCAGTGTCAGGAAGCACCGCTGCTGCCGAAGGTGCGAGAGACGCCCCAAAGGGCGTAAATACGAATCCCCATCTCTCTCTTTTGGCTCATATGCTCAACTATTAAGAGGTTTTGCGTAGACAAGCAGGGACCGGAGAGATTTGTGTCAATGTGAATGTATGCACAGACGCGTGTGTGTCCTTCTCCCACCTGGAAGGCCAAGTGTGCACCTGTGCAGTCCTAGGGCCGCGAGAGCATATCTCAGGGACAGCTTCTCCATGGGCTATCGCAAATCCCCTCTCCTATCTGGGGCATCACCAAGTCTCTGCTTGCCCTGCCATCATGGTACAAGGTCTGGATGGCCTCACCCAACAGCGGGACCTTGACGGTGATGGCCCAGAAAATACACCCAACACTTCTGTTGTTGTCTTTGGTAAGAGGTTCAGGGCTTCTTTTTCAGAAAGCATTTGCTGGTCCTAGAAGCATTTCATATCTGAGCTGACCCACGTGAGGCCTTCAATCCACCACTTTTCTGCTGTTTCTGCCTCCAGATTCTTTGCAGAATTCGGCTCAGTGCCTTCACAAGTGCTTCTTCTCCTGGGTTTTTCACTCCAGATAACCCAGTTCTTCCCTCAGTCTAAGAAATGATGCAGATATACTTGGGAAGAACAGGGAAGCCCTGGTGCACGACCACATGGAGCTGAACACCCACGAACTCCGGAGTGCACAGTCAAGGCCTTGTGCAGAGAAGCCCAGGGCCAAATGACATAAGGTGCTTAACTGCACCATGTGTAACTCAATCCCACTGCTTTCTCTGCTGCAGCGTAACCTCGTGTTTCAGATCGAAACCGTAACTTTCAGACCGGAACTGCCATGCACCCAAATTCTATGCACAGCACTGCAGGAGCTCTTGAACGGGCTCCATTGACTCCCATGGAGACTTCCTTTAAACCCTCCTGGGTTAGGACTGAATGGTAGAAAGAACATGGCAGGGGAGGATAGTGTTATCTTTTCCTTCCAGTGCACTGGGCCTGATCTGAGCTGGGGCCGTGCTCACTGACACCAAAAGGAAAGGAAATAGGTCTGACTGCTTGCTAGGCAGTTAATGTAGCGTGTGCTCAGACACGCAGAAGTGGGGGAGGAAGAATAGGGATGTTTTGGATGGAGGGGAGGAAGCATGCATGACCTAATGAAATGGTGAAACTGGTTTTGGGGGAAGGGCCATGGAACATCAGCAGAGCGTGTCTTTTGCTTCAAAATCGTAGGTTCAGCCCCTGGCATGTCAAGACGAGGCTGAGCATTTTTCTACACGAAGCATTTGCGGCATGCTTGCTTTCCACCATTCACAGATGCTTTCGAAGATGCTGTGACCCACCAATTCCCCTTTCATCAGTAAACAAAACTTTCTATGCATCTCTTTCAGAGCAGGGAAAATGGGTTATTTCTGATATTTATTTTATTTATTTTATTTATTGATTGATTTATATCCTGCCTTTTTCCTACAAAGGGCTCAAGGCAGCTTACATCATTCTCCTCTTCCATCTTATCCCCACAACAACAACCCTGTGAGGTAGGTTGGGCTGAGAGTCCGTGACTGGCCCAAAGTCACCCAGTTGGCTCCATGGCTGAGTGGGGACTCGAACCCAGATCGCCTGAGCCCCAGCCCCATGCTCTTAACCACTACACCATACTAGCCAAAGAAGACGCAATTTCTCCTAGCACATTCTGGTATACCATACCGGAGGTCATGCAGCAGAAAAGCAGGAAAAGAAATGCTTCCCACATAGTGCTCAGAGCTCAGTTCTGTGATGCCGCCACGAGTAGGCAGAACAGATTTTCAGCCTCCTGCAGAGCAGCCCTGACACGCCAGAGAGCTGCAAGATCCTCTTGCGCACCCAGTGGGGTGATTCCTTGCACGGCAGAATGCTGAGCCCTTGCGACAGACACATCCTCCCCGAGTGCTCCAGTGCGTAACAACACAGCCAAAATAGGCAGGACAGTACCCCACACTCCCTCGCTGGGCATGGTCCCTAAGCGAGTGCCTGCGGCTCAGCTCCAGGCCCTCCTGACCCACCGGGTGTATCTAAATCCGTTTCAGGCAGGCTCCAGTCCTGCTTTTGCAAAAGAAACTGTCTTGGTCAACTTGTTGGATGATCTCTGCTGGAAGAGAAACGGGAGTGCTGCTGGTGGTTGGTTCTTGGTTCTCTTGGCCTTCTTGGTGAGACCTGGTAGTTCAGTCAACATGCCTTTACCTTTTGAGTGAGTCCAGAGAAAACAGTCAGGAAGGCAACAGAGTGCCTTCGGTGAACATCCAACAGCTCCTATTTTCCTCTGCTTTCCAGATGACGACATTTCCCATGCAATGGCTACAGGTGTCCAAGAGAAACACAAGACGGCACGGACCCCTGCCAAAGATTTAGGACCCTCGAAGGCACGCCATCGCATTCACAATCAACAGATCCGGGATCGACGCCAGTCACAACTGCTCTTCACCAATTTGCTGGTGTCTTTCTGTTCTCAGTAAAAGCAAGCTGCATACAAATTCTGTATCAAAAACGCGCCTGTTCTTGTTCTCCACAGAAATGGAATTACCCTATTTTCCCATGTATAAGATGCTACTTTTTCTTTAAAATATTTACTTAAAAATGGAGGTGCATCTTATACATGGGGGGGCACAAGAATTCCGGGTGGGGGGAGGGGGGGGAGGGGGGGGGGGTGGGGGGGGGGGGGGGGGGGAGGGTGGGCGGGGGGGCAGCATGTGGGGGCAGCAAGGCACCGCGGGGGCCCAGTAGCAGCTTGCTCGCTGGAGATGGGTAGGAAAAGTGGGGGGCGTCCTATAGATGGGAAATTACAGTAACTCCTTCCTGGCTGATTAGAGAGCATGTTAGCATCCTTCCCAAACCAATCCAGTGGGTCAAGAATTATTGCAATATTCCCCCAGCCTCAATTTTTCATCTTGGGTTGGGGACTTGCTACAATGCTAATTAAACACTTCGTAAATTGCACCACTCTAAACCAACCTACCAGATGCTTGGACTTCTGCTACCAGCGTTCCTGGCAATGAGTCGCAGTGGGTGGGACTCACGGGAGGCAAAGTCCAGAACACCTGGAGGGCACCAGGCTGCAAAAGGATCATCTAAGCAATACAAGTCCTTCATCACGAAGCTCACTGCCATGGTCAAACACCGTGCTTTAGCATGCTCCGCACTGGATTGTACCTTGTCTGGTGTTGCACTGGATCTCCTAGCTATATATGTGGCCGGCTTTATCGTTAGGCAGACTGAAGCAGGCAGTGGCTTCAGGCAGCAGATGCTGTGGGAGGCAGTGGGTGGCAGAAAAGTGCAGAAGGCAGGCTCTTCTCGGCCCTAAGTTAACTCACCACTCCCCACGCAGCCCAAAGGCCAGGCAGTCAAGAGCATTGTTACATGTCATGAGCGCAGCCGGCTGGAGCTGGGGGTCAGACTAGATGGCCCAGGAGGCCGCTTCTGCCTTGCTCAGATGTTTCCCCAACCTGCTGGCCTCCCATCATTCCCAGCCAGCACAGACCTGCATCTGGGGAATCACCAGATTGGGGGACGCACTCCAGAGTCTAAGGCCAGCAAGAGCATCCTCCCAAGCAGAGCGCCAGCCCTTCATGAAACATGGTGGAACGGCTTGGCTGCCTCGGTGGCGCTGTTCGGCCATTCTTGGAAAGCTGCCTTCTCATGAGTGACTTTGGAGAAGGATGACATTGCCACCTGCTGGCCATGAGCAGAACTACAACAAAAATGAAGATTTATTCTAAGCTGCCAGGCCTCAAATGATGCCTTCCTTATTATAAGAAGCTGGGAAAGTGGCAGGCAGAAGAGGAAAGGGAACACCAGATATGAGTCGAATGGGGTCCATAAAGGAAGCCATAGGCTTGAATTTAGAAGAGCTGAGCAGGACTGCTGTGGGTAGGATATTCTGGAAGTCTCCACAACTCAGAGACAACATCACACAGACAACAGCAACACTATAACCAACCAAATTATGTTGCGATAGGAACATTCACCACTGTTTTCATTTTGCCAGTATATCTGCCTGGTTGACCCTCCATTCTTCATACCACGACGCTTCCTAGAACATGTGAACCATTGATTCATGATCAGGACAGAGGCCGTGGCTTCTCGTGGGCTTTCCCAACAGTCTCCATCCCTGTGGGACTGCAGTACTTCAGGCGCTATTACAAATCTTACATGCTTTCCTCAAAGGCGAAAGACCCGAGGTAACTTGCAACAGAATTAAAGAATTAATTGTCCATCAAGCTGCAATCAACCCATTACAGTAAAAAATCAGTCACTGTAGTCTCTGGTGTTCTGAGGAGACAACAGAACACTCCTGAAGCAAGATACAAAAGGCAGCCCTTATTAAGTAAGACACAATGCAAAACATTCCTGCCCTGATTACAATACCAGGTAGGTCCTTGTATCCCAGTCAATGCAACACTAAAATTGTATTTATTTATTTATTTAAAACATTTATATCCCGTCCTTTCTGATGAGCGGCTCAGGACTGCTTACAGTGATAAATGAGTCCTCTGATGTGACAGAACAATCCGTAGCATTCATAATGGAGGAGGCCACCACAGAGAAGGAAGGAACCTCACTTGAAGGAGTGTATTGGAGTAAAGCAGCTTTTTCCTGCCTGGAACCCCTCAGATAGTTTGGACCCAAGTCCCCTCGGCCATGGAGAGCATGGCCAAGAGCCAGGAATGGGAACATGGGAGGCTGCCTAGCCTGAGTGAAGACCCCTGCTCTATCTGGCCCAGCATCGCTGACAGTGATCGGTTGCAGTGCTCCAGGTTTCGGGCAGATTTTTCCTGCCCGATCTGGGCATCAACTCTGCCTGCTCATTGCTTGCACAGCAGGTGCTCTAGCCCTGGGTGTCTGTCCTCTCTGCAGTGCCAGGAGGCGTCCTCCAAACCACCTGGGAGTCACAAGGTTTGGGGAGGCTGGATTAAATGGATGGACTTGCATCTCCAACTGGACAGCAGACAACTCCAAGCTCAACCTGAAGCCTGGCCTACCCCACCCTACCCTACCCTACTCTACCAGAGGTAGCACTAGGGACCATCTTTCATTCAGTACCCCAAAGCTCTGGGAAGCGCTGGGTGGTGGGGGAGGATGCATTATAGAACACACAAATTAGCATATGCAAATCCGGACTTTTCCAAGACTTCGCCCAGCCCTGAGAGGCCTGCCCAGAGGCTCCGGACTGTGGCATCGCATGAGAGAGGAATCCGTGGCCACGTTCATTGCAGGCAATCACTCTCTGCATCGCAGTGAAGCAAAGGCACCCTTCACACAGCCACGGATCTGCTGCTGACACCAAATCCCCATGTAAAGCCTGCAGGAGGAGAAGCAAAACAGACCAAATTAGCACCCCTCGTGTTCCATGGAGGAAAATGCAGAGCAAAGGCAGGACAAGAAGAGCTCCAAGCAGAGCCAGACCAGGCACTGGGAAGAGATGGGAACCAGCAACTGGTTCTTCCAGTTCTGTGCGGCAGCTGTGCTTTCCCAAACTCCGTTGCCAAGCCACTGCATCCACCTCCACATCGCACGGCCCAAGTTTAAAAAATACAATCGATCCGCTGATAGTGTCCAGGGTGCTGGACTCATCTGGGGCTAAGGATCGACAGCATAAGGCATGCCACCTAAAAAGTTCAGAGGCAGACTCAGAAGGGGCGGTGGCACTGGATTCCCCGGGCTCTTTGGGGGCCTGCAGGATGCTGTCCAAACCAAACGCTCCTCCTTTACTTCCCTAAACCATGGACGTTTCTCTTGGCCAATTCCTTCTCTTTAAGCAGGGTGGGGGCGGTAAATGAGAAGCGATGGGGCAAGGTGGATGCAATAATTCGTTAACTGATCCGCTCCCTTTGAAACCCACAAGCTTTTGACGGGTGGGTGCGCTGCAATCCCTACGGGGGCAGGTTGACTTGCACCATGGCCTCGCATCTGGAGAACGGGCATCCTGGGGCTGGCTCCGCATCTTTCGTCTCCTCACTCCCTTCACAGCCATCTCTTTGGCACCGTGAAATTCCTCTGTCTCCTCTTCTGTGCCCCCTTGATCACAGCCATGGCTTGCTCTGGGGAACAGGGAACCACTAACCCAGATTAGAATCCAGGCTCTGGCCTGATTTTTCTTCAGCAGCAAAGCAGCTTCTCCAGGGGGCACCGGGGACTGCAGTCGCACCGTGACTGCCCCCGAAGGAGTGGGAAAGCAGAAGGGGAAGAGGCTGCCACGCATGTGCTGGAGCTCAGTTTTGATGACATCTGGGGGACCCCTTGTCAACTGAGAGCCTCTGATTCAGGGTTCAGCCTTCTCCCCACATGTCATAGCTCTTGAATTGGTAGCCCTTGTTCTTCCTGGACTGTAGAATTTCTTCTCCAAGGCTGGAGGGGCAGCAAAAGTCAGGCTGGAAAGTCTGATTATAGTGGGGAAAAGACAGCTGAGCCGGGACCTCCGGGGAAGAAATCCCCAGGCAGCGGGGAGGAGAGCCGGTTTGCTGCTGGCCCAGAAGTGTTGTGGACCCTCAGTGTAAATGCAGCTTTTGGGAAAGAAATGCCGCAGCACCCCAGCGTCCCTCTCAGGCAGCTGAAGTCAGGGCTGCAGGCGCTGAAGCCTGCCACCTCCCACCAGCAGGGGGCTGGTGGGATACCAAAAGGGAGAGCTGTTTTGGAGAGGGGAGGTGGGGAAGAGGAAGCTGGATGACCAAAATTAGCACAGCCACAGTCATAGAGTGCAACGTGCTAATGAAATATGTGAAGAACTGTCAGGAAATCCCGGAATTGCAGCCCGGGAGAATGTACACACGGATCCGATCCACTGGAGGATGCCCTTGCCTCAAACCTCAGTGGTTTTATTGGTGAAAACACCTGGGATCCCCTCTGCAAAACCTGCAACACCGCTGCCAGGTAGCCAGTACGACCACCGAATGCAAGTTCCCAGAGCAGAGACACGCATTTCAAGTTTCAAGGCAGTGGTGAGATTCTGAATGGGTGAGAAGGTGAGGACAGTGGGGAATCATGCAGAAGCATCGCGGAAGCATCATAGACATCAGGAAAAACACTACCCACCAAAGGCTCGGTAACAGATGACAAATAAAACAATCAGGAGTTGCAGCAATCAAGTAGGTTTAAAATGCTGTGGGTTTTGCGATCAGAGGTACAGAATTCCTTAAGGCGAAGGTGGGCTGCGTAGGTATTTTGACATTGGAAAGGAAATGCAGCTTGATTCTGCAAGGAAAGGGGGCCAATTCTGCAAGGGAAAACATGAGTCATGGAACTTCCTGGGCTGCCGGCTTTTCCCGGGCATGTGGAGCTGGGTGAAAAGCTCTAGTCCCTTTGAGTGGAGAAGGGCGAGGGCACTGCTGCCAGATATTCTATGAAAGGACATGCAAAGGCATATCTTCTTATCTGAGGATTTATTTGGACTTTCCCAATGCAATGTCTAACCCTTTTTGTCAGAAATGTGGACAGGTATCCGCTGAAGTGGAGAGATGGAGGGATAGGCAAGGAAATCCTAAACCTCTTTTCTTTTTTCTTTTCCGTGAGGGTGCAAGATGACTTTGTGGACACCCGCACCCTTCGAGGTGGGAGATGTACCCGTGAAAATTGTGGACCAGGAGGTTTCTTCAATGGGTATTGTGGGCCTACCAGGAATTGTTGCAAATGGTAGAACTCCAAAAGGAAGTAAGACAAAAGATGCACTTCCTGTCCTTTTCACCTGTTCACTGATCATTTAAGGTTCTTTCACAGGCAAAGCAGGGTCCAGAAAGTCCTTGCACTATGTAGCTATCTGGCATTGTGTTCTATCTCTCCTTTATGTGGAAACATAGAAACTGAAAGAGTCGGAAGGGGTCTCCCGGGTCATCTAGTCTGACCTCCGGCACCAGCCGGCTCCGCTCACGACATGCCCACCATGTGGACGTCCAGCCTATCCTTGAACACCCGCACCGATGGGGCCTCAACGACCTCCCGTGGAAGCCCATTCCACACCCTCGGGGTCCTGACTGTCAGGAAGTGCTTCCTGGCATCTAAATGGAACCATGGTTCCCTGAGCTTTGCTCCGTTGGAGCGCATCCTGCGTTCCTCTGCAGGGGAAAACAGGTCTCTACCCACCTCCGTGTGACACCCGCTCGCGCACCTGTATGTCGCCGACAGATTCCTTCTGAGTCTCCTCATGTGGAAATGTGGTGGTTTAGGAGAAGACTGGGGGGAGGGAGAGAAACATTGGTGAGGGGGGAATTTTCCCCATGGGCCAAAAAGTCCTTGGGAAAAACAAATAATTAGGAAAAATATTCTTTACATTGTTCGTCTGGAAGAGGTCCCAGAGTTTTTCAAGGTCATCACATCAGTATCCTCATGTGACATTATTTATTTTATTTATTTATTAAAACATTTTTATGCCGCCCCATTCGCCGAAGCCTCGGGGCGGCTTACAACATTAAGATCAATGTCAAGGACCCAGGTTGGTGTACAATCTCTGTATGCAGTTAGAACTGCCTCATCCAAAAACAGGGCTCTAAAACTCAGAAATACATCTTTTCTAGATAGGGTATTAATCCCATTTGTCATTCCCTTACTCACGGTTGTTCATGGGTTCCTTAGATCAGCTGTTTTCAACCTTTCCACAGTTGTGGACCGGTGAAAACAGGAAAACCGCCTTGAGGACCACTGAGGCAGAAATAGAAAGCTGTCTCTCCCCCCCCCCCCATGGCAGGTTGTGCCAAACCACCCCCCCCATGGACCAACAGGAAAACTGGCAGACTGGCACCAGTCTGCAAACCAGTGGTTGAAATTTATCAACTTATCATAACTTATCATCTAAGTTATGGTATTGTAACCTTCCCATTTTTCATTTCTTCTGCTTTTTGGGAGGAGGGAAAGTGTGACTTTTAATGATGGAAGCAAAATGCAATTTCTTATTATGTATGTGCTATTGTGGAAAAGCGGGAAAGGAAAAACTGTGTTACTGCAACGAAACCAAATGTAAGATACAGCAAATTAACAGCCTTGTGTAGAAAAGCTGCTGGTCTCCCAAAGTGACTTTGACAAAGTCGTTTTATCCGAAGGCATGTGCCGTCGGAGAAAACCTGCAAGCTGCATCCTGGAACTGTTGTGAGTTATCTCAGATGTGGATAGAGAGGTCTTTAATAAACATGAAAAGCATTATAGCTGTTTTCCAAAACTCCCGATGTTTTGGATGCAGAGTTTCCATCATGCCCAGCCAGCATGTCACAGTGGCCAGGGATAAGGGGTGCTGGAGTCCAAAACACCTGCAGGGCATCAGGCTAGGAGAGGCTGCCTTAAAATATGGGCATAATCCATGTTCAAGGAAAATTAACTCAATTTCCTGTAAAAAACACACAGAGCTTGCTGTGTGGAAGCTCTTTCGCACGTGCTGCACAGGTTAAAAGAAGAAAGGACAAGATGGGTTTGGTGCCTGCCTGTAACATGCAAATAGAGTACCTGTCAGGTGTTGCCTTCTGTCCAGGTCCACCTTTCCCAAGCTGTACCATCCAGAGGTTTTGGACCACAATGCCCAACATGCCTGACCACTGGCCATTTGGGTGTTGCCGTCCCAAATATCTGAGCCCACCAGTTCAGGGAAGGCCTTTTGTTGTCCACCCTGAAGGCAGTGGTTGCCCAAGGTTGAGGAACACCAAGGCTTGAACATGGGGCTCCGGCCCCGTGACCTCGTGCTGTGCCGCCGGGCTAAGATCCCGCCCAGGATGCAGAATGCTCACTTGTGTCTTGCGCAGGGATGGCAGGTCAAGACAATCGCACGGTCAGAGCTATGTGGATAACGGCTCCCAGCCAATGGCAGAAAAGACACCGGCCATTGAATAGTAAAAGAAGCCCTGAAAAGATCATGAAAACCAACAGACTATTTTCACCTTTTTTTACAGTGGGGCTGGTAGAGTAACTGTGTGGAGCTGTTTCCAACCCCATTCCTTCTCGGCCACCCCACACCTCCTCCCCGATATCAGCACATCACGGCACTGTAGCGCCTCTTCCCCAAGATCCCTCGATTGCAGTGTTGGTCCCAAAGAGAGAAGGTTTTCATGAAGAGCGGACACTGCAGGACATCAGCAGCAGACGGAAAACCACCCCACCTCTCCGGCTTGTGCAAGAAAAGCAGGCGGCATGGAATGCTTGCCCCGCTTTTGCCTAAATCTATCGCCATGAGAAAGGGAGATAGTTCATTGCATGTGTCATATCACCTATGCAATGTCCACCAGGGATGGTGCATCAAAGGCACTACCCCACCAAAGGGGGGTGCTATATGATCCACGGGAGAGTCAAGAAAATGTGGAACTTAAGGGCCAGCTTGGCACAGTGGAGGAAGAGGACTGGTTCCAGTCCCTGCTTGGCCTCTGGAGTTCCCCAGGTGAGTTTGGTCCAATCAGTAATTCTCAGCCTCTCGTACCGCACTGGCTTGTGCAGAGGACAGAAGAGACAAGAGGAGGCAGATCAGGGGTGTAAGAAGTAGGCAGACGTATTTTCTGCTGAATTCAGTGGCACTTAAACGGCCATAAGTTTGGCTGGATCTGGCAGTGAAGCAAAAGAGAAAGGTATGATGAAGCAAAATTGTAGATTTTCGGTCAGAAGAGTAGCATGAAAGGCGTACCAAAAAAATAAAATAAAATGCTTAAGCCATTCTTGCAAGCTTCTTAGAAGGGAGGCCTATATTGTTACTTGCACATTAGGACACTGACTTGCCCCATTGGGTTTTTAAAAGGGTTAATAAGGTAATAGGAGTTATGATGTGCTTGGATCTGGTGAATACTCCAAGGATTTTAGGGCAGAAAGACAGGATGCATTTCATTTTATGTTCACAATGACCCGTGAAGTGTTGAGAGGAAGCGACTTGCCCAAAGACCACACAGTCTTGGGATGTGAACCTGGTCCTTTCCCCTTGAACAGCTACACCCCTTCTATCCTCTATGCCACTGGAATGTGGATAGCACATTAAATGTCAAAAGAATTAAAGTGGTTCAAAAGCAGAAGAAGCAATAGAAAGAGAGCCCTTTTCCAGTCTAAACTTGCATAGAATTGCACCTTTCATTCCTGGAATTAATACTCGAATGCTCACCCTCAAATAGCGCCTCCTCTTCTTCCATAGTCCATTTTCCAGGAGAAATAAGAGCAATTCCAGTTTTGCTGCCATCTTGTGGTTATGCTGCCACCCCCTAACCAGAAGCTGCCATTGATCTGTCAAAAGCAGTTCTTAGGACGAGTGCGGAGCATTTGTACATCTATCCTGGAACGAGGCTGCTGTTTTTTAAGGGAATTCCCCAAAGTGAATTAGAAATGCCCATCTTTCCCACCATACCCCTCCCTTCCAGATTCCCTAAGTTTTTAACATGACAACAAAACCTACCGAAGCAATTTGGCCAGAATCATAGGTAAGCCGTGCAAAATTGAAATGACTGCAAAAGTCAAAGAAGAAAGTGCAAAAGCAGGACTGCAGCTGGACATTAAGGAAACAAAATTCACTACTATGGAAGAATCACAAATTTTATTTATTTTTCTATCTATTTAAAACATTTCTATCCTGTCTATATTCAAACAGGATCTCCAGACAGTTTATGAAAAGAGTAAAAATGAAAATAACAAGGACAGCAACATCCACAACAGCACCTGAAAAAAATTAACAAGCAACAATATATAATCAAATCATTCTAACCATTAAAATACTGGGCATATAAAATGGTTTTGGCCTGGCACTGAAAAGAATGAAGAGTTAGAGCCAGGCACACCTCTCTGAAAAGCAGATGCCACAGTTGGGGCACCAGCACTGAGAAGGCCCTTCTCCTACTGGCTGCTCTTCTAGCCTCTTTCAAAGAGGGCTCCCAGAGAAGGACCTCAGCAGATCATGTTAAGGTCCATGCAAATAACCTGGAGTGACCGAAAGACAAACGCATGGGTCCTGCATCAAATTAGACCAGAGATTTCCCTGAAAGTTAAAATGACAAAATAGTGGCTGTCCTATTTGGCTATACCATGAGAAGGCAGGAGTCCCTGGAGAAGGCCATCATGCTGGGAAGAGCTGAAGGCAGAAGATGATGCTAAATAGCACTGATAGCACCTTCCTCTGTTTACCCAACACTGACTGGCAGAGGCCTTGCCAGCCCTTCCTAGAAATTCTGGGAACTGAATCTGGGAGCTTTGGCGTTCCAACTGAGCCACGAGCTATGGTCTTTCCTCTAGACATAAAGTAAGATTCTAGTCCTCATGGTTCTCAATAAAAAATGATTTAATGAGGAACACAGGATGCTGGTCTATACTGACTTGGCCCCTTGGTCCATGTAGCTTCCCTGTTGATGTGGGGGTTTTGTGGACCACCAGCTGTGAGTTCCATCAGTTGTAGCCAGCATAGCTAATGGTGCTGGATAAGGCTGAACCTGAGACCTTAAACTTTTGCATGCAAGGCAGGCACTCAGGTGGGAGGGAGGTGGAGACGGGAGCAAAAGCCACAGGACAGCTCTGCCTCCAGGCCGCAAGCTCTAGGGAGGGTCAGTGAGCCAAGTGGCGCAGCAAAAAATGGCGTGGCCCGCAGCTTTCCCTGCAAGTGTGGAGGAAGACGCTTCCGATTGTCCATTTTTGATGTGAACCACATCCAGCAAGGCTTATTCCAGAACAAGCATGTTAGCCGTTAAGACTGTTGTTTCGGTGTCCAGAGAAACAAGTCTGCAATACGTTATCTCTTGATTGCAGCATTCAGAGCAGCTTTTCTGCACAGAAGCTTCCCAAAGTCTTGGCACTTTCAGGGAAAGCAGTTCTGAGCTGTTGGGATGTGCCATCCAGTTGCCTCCAGCTCTGTGAAGGAGCACCCTCCAGAACATTGTCCTAGACAGCCTTGCTCAGCATTTTGAGAAATAATAAAAAGTTTGAGACTTTAAGTTATAATAGCAGCTGCCAAACTTCCCAACATCAGCATGGAGCAGCATGTGGAATCACGGGGGAATCTTACTAAGATTGTGCCATTCATGGCACATCAGCGCCATCTACTGGTTTCTAATGAGAAAACATAGAAGGGTTTAATTATGCTGAGCACTGAAAGGGAAGGACAGAGGAGAAATACCTTGCCATGCACGGAGCCACTTTGGAAATGCCTTATTATTATTAACTGATACATTTTAATGACAATAATGTCAACTATTCGTATAAGAACATTTCTACACTACACTCCTTGCTGTTTCAGG